CGGACTCTGCAGAAATAACCCAGACAAGCGTTAAGTAAATTAAGAAAATACAATAGGTACCCATTGTTCTACACTACATTCAATAAACTAAGGTGTTAGTCTAAAATCTTCTACTTATAAATCGAAGAAATTTGATTTAGTATCGAAAATATTTTGATACATGTCTCAAAAGTTTTGACACAAATTTCTTTATACAATTTTAAAAAGTAAAAATTTTTACGACAATTTTTCAGAATATAATTAATATAATATCTGTTAAACAACAAATTTCAAATTACATCTAAAGGTATTTAACAATACGCAGTATTTTGTGAACATCTTCACATCAGTTCTTAGACCGTTTCAATAACAATATTCCGATTTTTCTAAAATTCTGCCGTCTTAATTGTTGCTCGTTTTCGGCTTCCCAACACTCATCCCCATCATCCATTTTTCGAGACAAAATGGCACAGAAATCTTCAATTTGCCGAGGCTGCAGTAAATTTGGAAAGTTGTCGTTTTTTGGCACAGAAGGTATGTTGTGAGCATTCAGTTAATTTTGAGTTTCACGTGCATAATGACATAAAGCCAAGCCTGGCCAAAACATCGATGGCTAAGAGGACAAAATCGTCACTTGGATGCAGAAGTCACACACTGTTAATTTTACAGGAGAGTCTATATTATACCAATCTGGTGGAAAAGTTCAATAACATCCTTATTTTAAGAGATTTAAACAAAATGTATTAACAAAATTTGTAGGGTGGTTGAGGGCCATATTTTAAAATTACATAAAGATGTACGGGATGTTACATGTCTCAGGTACTACTCAAACATATGTTTTTTTTTTAACCAGAACATTATAGATTTAGATTACTGTCATTTTTCCATTCTTCTAAAATATAGTTTGTCTATATAATTACAGGATACTCTAAAACTAATTGACACTTTTGTATGAAAATCGTAGGTAAATCAACGTTCTGTAGCCATTTACATACTATTTTTTTACCTACACGAGTTTATTAATATAATGTATTACACTTTTCATTAGTAAAATTTTTATTCTATACTTATTAGTATCAAAACTCGGACCCTTGATTTTCATGTTTTATTTAAATGGGACACCCTATATTTTTTATTACCAGTAGATTTCTCTGAAAAATGCCTTCCATTTTTATTAATCATTCCCTACAGGTACCTATAGGTAATAATTATCGATATTTTGTAACATCAATTGAACATTATGGTTATTTCGACAAATAAAACTAGTTTTTTTTTTTTTTCAAAAAAAAAGACACTTTAAAAAATAATATGTGTGAAATAAAAGGAAACAAAATTATAAAAGTTGTTCAAATAAGTGACCTCCCATAACATTAATACAATGTTGTAAACGCAGTTCTTATGATTTACTCACATTTCTTAGCATTTGAATATCAGTACTCTGAAACACATTTCTAATTCGAATTTTCACGTCCTCTTTCGTCGTTGCAGTAATATTATAAACTTGTTTTTCTCATAACGCCACAGAAAAAAAATCAGTTTTTGTTAAATCCTGTAATCGAGTTGGCCACCCTATTTCCCCTCCTCTCCCTAACCACCTTCTTGGAAAATGATTATTTAGATAATTGTAAATTAGTGCGGTGTGATGGATCAGCGCACCATCGTGCAATAACCACATTCGTTGGGGAATGTGAAGGGAAACATCCTCGATTAATATCAGTAAATTATTTTCTTGGAAATCCAAATATACTGCACCATTTACTCGTCCTTTAAAAACGTGTGGCCCTATGACAAAATCACCTACGATTCCACCCCAAACATTTACTGACTACCTCGTTTGGCCATAGTAACTATAAAATGTGGGTCGAGTAATAATCAGAGATAACAGGAGATGTAACTACTAACAAATATTGTGCGGTCCTGAATAACACATATTCTAAGGGACACAGGAGGGTATAATATCCGCTATTGTCATATGCCTATTTCATTATTCTCGTTTTGTTTACAAAATTATTTACGTATATTAAAAAAGCTACCTATTTTATGGCAACTGAACCCAAAAAATGTTGAATCATTAGTTATAATAAATTTAACTAAATTGGATGTAATTTCACTAAATTAGATGTAATAATTTTCAATAAATTCCGAAACCTCCTCCTGTTAGGTTGGAAGTGGCAACAGGCATGGATATTTACGTTGTTTATTATAAGCTTACACATTTATTCATTGATAAAAATAAGTTGTATCTGCGTAAAATTATTCTCTTTATCCTCTCTCTTACTTCTCACCTTTCTTCTCCTCGCCGCGTCCCTCCAAATAGAATGTACCGGTTTTCGAATTAATCTTGGCATCGTGAATATTATATTTTATCAATGAATGGTTATATCTCTGTTATCTCTGGTAATAATAGTAAAAGTTATGTCTATTTAAACATTTTTATAAATTTTTATTTAATGTTACTAAATATCAATAAATATTTACGTTAGGTATAGGGAATGCTTGATAAAAAAAGGAAGGCTAATGACAGAGGGTTCTACTGCTGGTATAAAATATAGAGTATCCCACTTAAATAAAACATGAAAATCAAGGGTCCGTGTCTTGAGTCACCCTGTATACTAATGAGCTTAGAATAAAAACGTTACTAAAGAAAAGTGTAATTCATGAAATCATAAAATTCGTGTGAGTAAAAAACTATTTTATCCACAGTATGTAATTGGTTACAGGGCGTTGATTTACTTACGATGATTTTCATACAAAAATGCCATTTTCTTTTAGAGTAAGTACCCTTTATAACCTAGACAAACCATAAATTAGAAGGATGGAAATAATGAGAGAAATCTAAGTCTAAAATAATAAACTGGTGTTCTGTTTAAAAAAAAAACATATGTTTAGTTCGTACCTGAGTCATACAACACCATGTATACATCTATTTAACTTTAAGATGTGGCAAGCTACCCTATAAATTTGGTTAATACATTTTATTAATATCTCTTACAAGGAAGACATCAAACTTTCCCACAAGATTGGTATAAAACATTTATAAAATTTCATTATCAGAAAAGAGTATGTCCATATGAAATAAGTTACCTTTTTCACATTTTATAAAGCACGTTCTGCAGAAAAAATTAATAGTAAGTCTTGAACTGATGTAGCATAGATGTAGCCTATCGATGGCTTAAGTGCAAAACGTCGTAACCACAAAAAGTCAATTTTACAGGTGAATAAAAAACCAAATAGACTTTAGATGTAATTTCGAAGAGCAACTTTTTGTTTTGGCGCGTAAAACTAATTTCATTTTATACTGTTGCTTACGATAGTTTTTCACAAGACGCAGATAAAACATACGACTCCAATGACGCGAAAAGCGATTTTTTTGAAATTTTGTGGGTTACGACGTTTTGCACTTAAGCCATCGCTATGTCAAAGATTTGGACATAGAATAAGTATATGTCCTCAAATTACTATTCCATGTCCACCATAAAGTTATGCAGAACTAGTCTAAATCCAATTAAGCTGATGATAGAGATAATAATAATAATAATAATACTCTCCCTAATTCACCCCCTTACGAGTGAATTTTAACCCCAAAAGCTGAGCTTGTCCGGGGAAAGGGACGGCTATTATTATTATTTGCCGTGGCGCTCCGGGGCGACTTAAAGATGATTGATGGTGCCATTTGACTTACAGGTGAGGAAAACCCGGAAAACCTCACCCACCATCATCGAGACGGTAATGTATGGCGAATTTTTTTAATCTGCATGTCATATCAACAGAAATTGAATTTCTATTAATACGCCACACATCAAATCCTAAACCGAACCATGCAATTTAATTAAAAATCCACATGGTCTGGTCTGGGATTCGAAACCCAGCAGTCTCAGACTCATAAACTTGCCTATAAATGAATATAAGCGCGATAGACCGCTACACCACCGTGCCCGATAAGATAAGATCAGGAGATACATGTTTTCGTTAATTCGCGTTTCAACCGATATGAGTCTTATCTGTAAAAATTAACTTATGATATTTCTGCATCCGATGTAAGATCATTTTTAATATCCAAAGAACAAAAAATCTCAAAATAGTAAGCGATTAAATATTGTATGTCCATTATTGTCGAAACTCAAAAGGACATTTTTGGACACATTTTTGGACAAATTTGTCTCTTTTAACCATCGACATAATATAATTAACATAATTCTTGTTGATAAAATTAATCAATTTTGTTGATCAATTGCGAATCAGTGGTACTGATTTAGATATTTTTATTTTCACTAATGATAATGGTCACATTTGAGCCCTTGAATAACCTCCACGATTCAACTAAGTTTCTTTTTAATAAGTTGATGCGGAGCACTCCGTGATGGCTCCAGTCGCTGTTTCATTTGGGCGTTGTTTTGATTAGCGCTATTTTAATAAACGCTAGAGATGGATTGCTATTTTACAGTAGGAGGTTTTGTTACTGCTTTTCACTGGAACAAAGCGCTCCACGCCTCACCGAAAAGGTGTTCCTTTTTGGAGCAGGTTCCGAGAAAAGAGGAAACGATATAAGTTCTTGTTCTTTTTCTATTTTTTTATTAACTTATAAATAATAAATGTTCAAATATTAAATAAAAAGAAGAAAAAAGAAAAGTATGGTTATTGGTTCCGTGTTTATTTTTGTTTATAAATATAAACAAAATATGTAGAAAGCATGAATCATTGTTTAATAAGTTTAATAATATAAATTAAACTTCTAAGGTAGGTTAGAAACAGCTATGTAATAATCCTTCCTCCATGCAGCTATGGTGCAAGAAAAAGATCAACATGTTCAACAAATTTAATGTATTATATAAAAACTGAAATACTTTAATGTCAAATAGATATAAAAACAAAACAGAAAATTCTTAACAATAACATATTTATAAAATAACACAAATAGAAACATAAACATAACATTTTTGAAGCACAGATAAAAAAATATTTTTTATAAATTAACATTTAAAAATACAATTTTTTTTGACTTTTTCTGCACTTAACCGTGATCTTCTATCTGTTAATATCTGCCATGTTTTTAAAAACACTCGCTCACATGGCACAGAAGTAGCAGCTGTGTCTAGTTTTTCAATAACGACCTTCGATAAAAGGAGTAATTGTATGAATGTTCTTTCCATCAAACTAATGGATCAGATTCTCTATTTAATAGTTCTTATTTTTAATATCTCTGAACTTCTACAATTGCTCGTGAAGATGAAGTAACAGGTTGGCTGAACTGTTGCTGTTCGTTCTAGTATACAATCACTTGAAATTGCTATATTTTTAAATCTAGGATCTAGAAAGGTAGATATTGTTAAGGTTTTACTACTTTTTAGATCTCCGAGGCGTGATTTAAGGCTGTGTAACATTCTATTCTCCATAGTAAGAGCTTTTTCAAGTAATTCTTCCTTTTTTTTAATTCAGAAATCATATTTTCTAGTCCATTTGTTGAGACAATGATAGAAGATAAAACCATATAACTTTCACCACTTACCATTTTAGTTATGCATTCCAAAGGTTCCAAACCCTTTTTGATGTCTTTTAAAAGTTGCCATTCTTCTAGAAATACAATTGGCAAATTTTCTTTATCCAACAGTGCCAAATTTGTTCTTATTACTTCCTTTAGTTCGAGAATTCTTTCCACCATATGAAATGTGGAATTCCACCTCGTTCGAACATCTTGAAGAAGTTTTTTCGGAGTTTTGCCATACTGCTTTTGGATGTCTACTAATTTTGTTGCTGCTGTTACGCTCCTTTTAAAATGAGCTACTGGAGCTCTTACTTTTAGTGGTTCAACTATAGTAATTGCATCCTAGACGATTAAATTGATGGTATGACCATAACATCCAAAATGTTTCCATTGTAAATCTTTAATAGCCTTGGTAATGTTGGCTGCATTATCTGTAACAGCCAGCAAATTTCTATTTTCTAGTCCCCAAGTCACTACACTTTTGTTTAACTCAGTTGCCAAGTTCACACTTGTATGCGCTTCAGGAAAGCAAGAACACTCTAATAATATTGATCGTTATTGAAAATTATCTTCCTCAATAAAACTTTCTGTATTGACTGATGTCCAACAGTCCGTGGTTAGTGTAAAAGATTTGGCATTTTTAATTATGGATTGGACTTTGTTTACTTATTTTTCATAAATTTCTGGTAACAAAGTGAACCTAACGGTTTTCCTCGTGCGCCCCATAGTTTTTGGGGCGCACCACAGTTTTGTCTGTCTAATTATTTTACTACTTGAAGAAGCTAATTTCTCATCAGTATCTCTTTAATTTTTTCTGTAGTTTATCCTGCAGATATGTTTTTATCATTATTTAATGTTTTTTGACCGCTTTGTAGGATTATGAACTTATCGTTATCCTGGTCATCGTTCATTTTTATTAGAGGGTGCTTTCGTTCTAAATGCTTCCGTAAATTAGTGGCAGAAGTTTTATAACTAACTAACTGATTACATATATTACAATTGGCTTTTTTACCCTCTTTATTAGACTCAAAATAATTCCAAATAATTGACTTATTCCGTCTATTCATATTAAATATAAAAAATATGATAATCCAAACTTAGAAACACTTAAGTATATTGAAATAGAAACGAAATACGAAATGCAAAATGTTAATTTTTAATAAGTGAATCCCGATATAACGAAAAGAGAAAAGTCATCTTATTTATTTTGGCCCTAGCTCTAAGATACATTTGGTCAGTTCCAACTAATCTTCAAGAAAATAAAATGTATACGAAATTATCTCTATAGCCATTAATTTATAGACAGAAAAATTTTACTAAACCATAAGAAACTTATTACTATCGCTATGTGTGAAATATCTAAAAGATGCTCCGTAAAATAGCAGCATTTTGTCACTGCTTCTTTGTCGTAGCAGAAGCGGATGTCACTGTTTCTTAAAAATCGCTTGCTTTACCCATCTCTAATATACGCTATTTCGTTCAGGCGCTGTTTCGATACGGGCTATTTTGAGTAGGCGCTATTTCGTTTCGGTGCTATTTCGAAATCCGCCATTTTAATTAGGCGCACAAACAATAGCACTATTTCGTGAAACAACCGCCAAATTTATAAGCCATTACGACGCAATCGATTTCGATAACTGAACTGTTATTAGAATGACAAATAAATCAATGAATTACTTTTTTCCGCACAGCTAATCCAATATTTTAATATTTTTAATTTTTTTCATAGAGTTTTTATTTGTGCTAAAACTTTTGAGACATACTTTATTGAATGGATTTAATGTTTCACCAAAATACATAAGAAATCGATGTTTAATTTAATAGTCGTAGATAAAATGTGTGGACTCAAAATATGTATTTTCAAATTTTGTTATCGTTTTAGTTTTATTCGTTTTATAGTGGAGCAAAATTCAGATCATAAGTCGTTTATTTTTGGTGATAATAAAAATTGGCATAGAACCAAATTACTAAACAATGTTTTACAAGAAATATTTCATATTATGTACTTTATTTAAAAAATATCAAATCGAGACTTCTATTAATTTTGAAATTTCGATGATTCAAAAGTAATATCTACTCTCAATTTTTCAGGGATTTTTGTTATAAAAAATGTCTCGACCTACTGAAAAATTTCAAATGTCATATGTACATCCAATGTGGTTGTTTCTATGCCAGAAAAAAATACGATCGTAATTTTACTTCACTATTATTAGGCTAGTTAACTATTATATAAGGCTGGTTAATTATAATTAGAAATAATGGCATTAATTTTGAATAAATTTGTTTTGTAAAAACGAGGTCTTTTTATTTTTGGTTTTTAAATCCTACAACTGAAAATTTACTTTTGTACTAATGATGTACATAATTTTTTCTACTAGTACAAGAAATGGTGATTTGTGGAAATTAAAATCATCACTTTTTTTATCACAATTTTTGTTTTAATGTGGGTAACTTGCTAATATTTAGATTTAAAAAAGTTTTATGAAATAAATCAAGTTATCAGTATAAATCAATTAAAAATAAACAGTATGCATTATTAGAGAGTTATTGCAAGTTTACTTAAGGTCAGTCACTATTAGTGCCGCTCTCATTTTGACATCTAAGCATGCGCAGATAGTTTATATTCTAAAACTGACTTTATTAAAGATTGTGCCTGTCCTTAATTGTGGATGATTAAGGGCAGCAGGTAGTGACGACTTTATAGCTTTCGGGTGCACTCGCCGACATTCGTATCCGTTCGAAGTTTTTTAATATTTAATATTTAATATAATCGTCATCTAAACCTTCTAAAATTATAATTTCTAATACCTCTTCAATATTATGTACTATTATAGACAACAAAAAAGATAAACTATAATTTAAAGTTATTAAAATGAGGTTAGAAATAAGTATAAAATACAAGGATTCTAATGTCAAAATTTCAGGTTTGCAATAAGTCTGATTTTAGCATTGAATTTATTTGACTCTAATTACGATGTCACTATTAGTGGCTGGCGTTATAGAAATTGGCAATATTTTTCTATTGCTCCAAAATAACGAAAAGATATATAGAGTGATCCATAAAAAATATTTCTACTGACAAAGACACATACGAGTCAAATAGGCGTAGCTGTCTCAGAAAAACAAATGAAATATACATAAGTAACGGGCGCCATTTAACATATAATTTGTTTGACAGTTGTGATCTCCATGGGCGTATCAAAAAATGTTTCAAATGATTACACTGTTAATATTGTTTATAGGTAGATTACATGTTACTTATGATTTTGTTATATGTGCATCGTAATTTGTATGGGGTGGGGTAAAATTTGCCGTCTTACACTGTTATAGTAGGCGACGAAAATTTTAAATCGACTAAATTAGATTGCAATGACTGTACATGATAATTAAATTTGTTGTTTAAATTGCAAAAAAACAGGTAATTAATCTCTACAAAAATATCTTACTGTCATCAATCTTATTTGGCAAGCTGATATACCCAATGTATTACTAATTAATATAAATGACCAAAAAAATGTTTTACATTACTGCACAATGCTATAATAAGGTAAGTAAAAAAACTATATTAACAAAAATTCCATTTCTTATAAAATAATTAAATTACAGTAGTAAGTTTGGGTAGTTTACATTGTAACGGTTGGAACCGTTATTTCGACACAACCGCCTCTTACTCAAATGTCATTTGTCGTCTTGTGAGATTTATTTTTGATTTGATCGACAGCGACAATCAACTAGATTTTATTTTAATTCATCTTGGTCATCCGATGTACTGGATGATTTTTGTTTATCGTAGAATCCATCTGATTTTCTAAGCATGGCTATATCTAGACGGTTTTGCTTCATTCTGAAGACAGTTATTTTTTTATTCATCTCTAGACGTGATTTGGATTTATCGCTATATGTTTTTGGATTCATCTCTAGATGGTTTTTTAGTTTAATCTCTAGAAGGTTTTGGTTCCATCTCAAGAAGGATTTGGTCAATCTCTAGACAGTTTATGTTCGAATACTGAAGATCAGTCACAGTGCAGAATTATGCAGAATTACGAATAAGGATCCCGAATCGCTTGTAGAAGTTTCCTGAAGAAATCCATGTTATAGATTTACATTCCGTATATTACCTTAGCTTACCAAAAGATAAGTCCTTTTTCAATAAATCTTAAATTTGAATTTAGTAAAACTTATGTGAATTAGAATTTGATAGCTACCTTATCTAAAGCGTGGTTTAAATATTATTTGTTAGTGGTTAGTGATTTTCTATATTTTTATCACTATTCTAGAGTCAAGTGTAGTAAGCTTTAAATATAGTGGTGCCCAACTTCTTTTTCAAAGTTATTCGAGTTATTTAATAACCTAACCCACGCCCTATCAATTGAGCTCAAACACATTAAACAAGTAGATAGAATAACTAGATATCACGTTACAACATAGAGAAATAATTTTAAAATAGTACACAAACAAACCTTTCTTCTAACTTTATAAAATTATTTGATACGTGTGTAAGTGGATTAAGACGACCATAATTTGTTAAACGACTATTTTCATATAACAACGATCAACTCCTAGTTCTTGATACAAAATTAAAGTAAAATAAAGCAAACAGTTCCGGACAATTTATTAAACCATTTAACAACCTATGTAAGAATAGTAAATCCGCATTATGCCTTCGATTTTCAAGAGAGTAAATATTATTAATGCCAGAAATTTGACAATATTGTATATATAATATCTGAAAACCCTCTTCTATACATCCTAATCACATTGTCTAGGTACAACTTGTGTGCTAAGAATTTTTTATATAAGCCTCAAATCTTCATCCAAAAATGTATAAACATATACAATTAACGCAAAAGATGTAATAATTTAAAAACACAATACAAGAATTAAATATAAAAATCCGATATAAAATAAATAAAAAAAAAATACTATATAAAAGTATCAAAAGTGGTAATTAAAAATAAAACTGCAGTGTCTATTTTCAAAGAAATACATATACCTATGAAAATCCCATAGAAACCGAAGTTGTACATGGACTACATATATTTAAATGACAACATGTATATCACCAAATTGAAATAATGTTATTTTAATACTAGATACATAAACTTTCAGCAGGTTTTTAAAGTTTTTGGAATTCTACATCTTTTAATAATCTCCAAAATAATATGTGTCATAAATATTTTCTAATAACAGATATTTTTAAATTTACTTTTAATTTTTAGCATAACTTTTTTTCTCTTAATTTAGGCACAAATTGAAATACTTAATCTATAACTTTTGGAGCAATTTCGGTTGAACAACTTGAATTTTCCAGTATTATAATTATAAATCTCTTCTAGACTCTGTATTTCACTACATTCAGTAGGAGGTAAATTTTTTCTAAGAGCAATTATAAAATATTTACAATATTGTCGCGTGAAGCCAACTCCGTTCTTTGTTTACTACCTTGCCCCCGATATGAAGTCTAGCGCTGACCATATCGAGACCTGCACTCGTTCGAGAAATTACCAGAGACACCGTTGTCCGCCGGCTGACTCACAAAGGAATAATTCCGGGACATTCTAGATCGCCGAGAACCTGCTAGTGCAGAGTTGGCTTTATATAAATAGCGCGAGTTTGTCGAAAGAAGTTGCCTATTTGGGGGTACGATTTTCTTGTACACTTAACTGGTCCTCTAATGTCCAACGCACTCTTGACAAGATGCGAAAACGAGCCAGTCTCCTTGGGGCTTTGTGCGGACGAATGGGGCGTTGTAACACAAACACCCTTATTCACACATACAGGGTGTTTCTGAACTTGGCGTCCAAAGGACCCCGCACTTATGCAAACGGGAGCACCGTCAAATTGTCTGAATTTTTTATGTTATAGTCCTTGATGTCTTGATTAAAAGTCTCCATGGACCCAATCCTATCCTATGGCTAGATTTTGACATACAGGCCGTTGAAGTTGAAAATCCCGACTTCTTTAAAATGGACACCAAA